GTCAATGAATTCCTATTGCGATCGGAATTTGTTATAAACTTTCGCCGTGTCTTCCGTTGTTCGCTCTCTCCGACCAACCAATAGGTTCTCATGGGTTCACACTTTCCCTTCAAAGGGATGAGACCCCTCTCGAACAGTAGATAACCACCCAATCGGTCCAAAATCTCTTTGAATTGCTCTGAACAATGAATTTTGAGAGGTTCGCTACACCAGGGGATCGTATTGAATCAGGGACCATTAGATTGAAATATCAAACATATTGCAAAATATACTGCAAATAAATCATTATACTGTACTGTACCTGGTCGACTCAAGCCTGGATGCAGTATTCACTGTATCACCTAATATTAGATTGTATTATAGTAATATTTTTACATCATTTTCAATAGCTACTGTATACTCTTACCAAAAAGGCAATACCGGGGCATTTTGATGCCGACTACCCCGGCACAAACGGGTCCCGAATGAACGCCAATTCTCATCATAAACTTCTCGTTAGGCATATGTCTTATCTTAAAATTCTTGATTTCATCCAAAAGATTGAGAGCCATTGACGCGATCTCAGAGGCGTGTCTGTCCTCATTGCGAATGGGAAGGCCCGAGACCACCCTAAACCATATAAACCATAGTTGAATGTAATCATATTATAATTTATATTAATAATTCATAAACAAATTAATTACATATAAGCGTCTCCTATGGTCTCAATTTTGTAGACATCATATGACTCTAAGGTCGCGTCGAATAGAGTGAACAAATCGTTTAGGAATTCTGTTATCTTAAGGATAAATAATAAGAATTGACATTATTTTGAATCACAAATTGGATTATTTGATGAATCGTTTGAAGAGATTTACCTGAAGAGGAGTGCTCTGAGACGACAGTTTAGTGAAGCCCACGATATCACTGAATATATATTAAAAATGAGATTACATTCTCTATTTAATCCATTAATATAAGATGAATCCAAAAAAAGAAGAAGCTAGGTTTTTGCTCGCATTTCTATGTTTCTTGCGATAAACCAATTTTGTAAAAAGTATTTTAAACTTTCATTTAATTGTGTTCTTTTGACATACTAACCACCCTGGTGACTCAAGTATCTCAATACAAATTTTGGACCAACGCGAATTTCATTGTCACCGGTCACAGCATAGTAGCAGGGTAAAATCTTAAATATACAAATTAAAGCCGAAAGTGTAAGCTTTCATTTAAACTATAAACCACATTGTTACGATTTCTAGTTTTGTAACAGTAATCTTTTGAAAATCATTGAATCCAATGTAAAACTCAATAGTAAATAATTTAAACATAAATTACACGTGACTAATAGGAGCTAGGTAAAAGTGTTGAATTGTAAAATTGAAGTAGGTGTCATAAGCTTTCAAACGGACTATGGATGATATTTGTAGGAAATTTGGTATTCACAGAAATTCCATTTCAATGTATATTCAATGACATTCGCGTTGGTCCAAAATTTGTATTGAGATACTTGAGTCACCAGGGTGGTTAGTATGTCAAAAACGCCCTTTTTTGGATTCATCTCATATATGAATGGAGTCCTACCTGAAGAAGACAGTGACGGCATCGAAAGACTCGGCCTCAACAGACTGTCCCCTTCGCAGTGAGTCGGCCACAGACGGCGGTAACATCTTATAGAGCAAGGCGTCGGT